AGGAATGCAGGTAAATGGGGGTTGGCACTGGGGGCTGGGGTTTGTCAGGGGACAGGAATGACAAGTGTCTCCAGGAGGCTCAGCAACTAGTCCCCAGCCTCTGGCCACGCACTGACTCCTCCATGTCAGCACTGGGGCTCGCAGAGCACACACATTAAATCCATGTTACACTGCATGACGGGACGTGCATCATGAATGTAAAGGAATATGTCTAATGTGCACACCTGTGAAGTGAATATGCATAGAGGCACAGGGCAGTCTGGTGCAGAGTGGAAGATTAGAACCAACTGAAATGCTCACTGGCAAGTTGGATAAATCAGGATGCATTGAGTAGGAGTAATAGGAGGTCGTGCATGTGCCATAACTTAATCACTTGCTCAATGATCTGATATGGACTTCTGTAAGGTAGACTGTTACGTGGAAATAAGAAAAATGAGAATAGTGTGGGGAAATGTATTTATAGACTTGGATAATCCCTGGAAGGGCAGGCAAGAAAATGATAACCTGGTTACTTGCCTATCTTGGAAGAATACTTTAGAGGGCTGTTGGATGGGGTAGGAGAAAAACACCCTTAAATATTGACCCATGTGAAAGTATTATCTATTCCAAAAGTAACTAAATTTAATATATAAGCAGGGGCCAGAAGGTGGTGTGGTGGTTAAGGCACTGGGCTGCCACATGGCTGACTACTGTTCAAGTCCCAGACCTGGCAACTTGAAAGTCACATGGGGGAAGGGAGGCAGCAGGTGGCATGATGGTTAAGGTACTGGATTCCAATATGGCTGACCACAGTTCAAGTTCTAGACCCAGCAGCTTAAAAATCATGTCACGCTCATGTGCATGCCCATCCAAAATTCCAAAAGGATAATGAAGGAGAAGGGATGGTGGCTTGACCATCCACCCTAGGTGGGTGATTTCTCCAGTGAGCACACACGTCCTATCACAAAAAAAAAAGAAAAAATAGAATCTGGGGGTGTGTCTGTGTGTGCCCAAAGTCCCAGGAAGAGGATGGAAGAGATGGGGTTGTGATGTGGCCGTCCCTCCTGGGGGGTGATTTCTCATTTCTCATCTTCCCTCTCTCTCTCTGTCTCTCCAAGGCAAGTGCACACATGCTATGGCTAAAACCTAAATGTCTGTGTGTGTGTGTGTTTGCGTGTGCGTGTGCGTGTGTGTGTGTGTGTGTGCGTGTGTGTGGTTAAAAGCAAAACTGAAATAAACCCTAAAATCATACATCCATATTGAAGACAATTAGGAAAATACTCATCATCTTGAATAGTATAATTTAACATATCGATATATTATTCAATTAATACAGTTACATAAGTATAAATTTGAATCCTTGGATAAAATGGCAAATCACATATATAAAGTATATTCACTATAAATTAATTATAATGCATATGTTAATTTAAATGTGCTATTTTAATATAAATTAAATTTACTTAAACCTAGAAATAATATCTGGATTTATCAATATATTTATTGTCACTTACAAATACTTCTCTGTTTATTTTCCCTTCCCTCAACATTACATCATAAACATGTGACTATTTTCTTAACTATTCACCATGTCATCATTACTCAATGACCTCTCAGTGTTCTATGAATGTACCATCGCTTAATTATTTGCTAAGAAATATTATTGTGCTGCCTCTGTGGCAGGCCAGGCTCTCAGCAGTGGAAGAGCCCGCGTGGTGACAGCCAGGAAGAGTAATTATTTGGCAGGAGGGCAGCAGAGGAGAGCCCGAGGGTGCAGAGGAAGTGAGCACCATGGAGGCTGTAGGTCTGTGGAGATCGTTGGTATCAGTAAAAAGGGATGAGGTGCTCGTGCATCATTCTGTGCATCTCTAATGATACTTTCCTACAAAATGTCACCCTGTCAATGGGATGAATGCTGACTATCCAGCTGCCTTCCAGAACCTTCCTTGTTTCTGTGAGACTGACATGAGGGCTCCGTGGGAAGCAGCTCTTGGGCTTCAGTGCACTTCCCCATGGGATCTTTACATACTCAGCCCTTCTTCCTGGCCACTCTTGGAAGGTGGCCCTGAAGAGGAGGGGTGTGTTTTCAACACCCCCTTCCCAGGTTTCTGGCACCTCAGTTTCCCTTAGGCATCAACAAATCCTGGCCAGAGCCTGGGCAGCCCTTTTTCTCGTCCCTCAAGCCTGGACATGCCTTACTCCTCAGATCTCTAAGGATTTCCAAATGACTCTGAGGCACCCCCTCTACACCTCCTGGACCCAAGGAAGAGCTTGGTTACTTTTGCTTCTACCTTTTGCCCAGATTCTCTACAATGTATCCCAATATCCCTAAGGAAGTCATCATTTCTCCTTGAAATGGGTTATCCACACTGCAGAGCAGTGTGACTCCAGCCAAGAAGTCATGGAGGCGTGGCATGTAGGTCAGTCGATGGACATCCTAGCAATAAGCACAGCCCAGAGGCCTGATCTAGAGGACTTTGGCGTCTGAAGGAAAGTCGCCCACAGCTTCCGAGCTGCCCTTGCCGCTCCACTCAGTGCTGTATCCCGAGTGCCTGCTCTAATCTGCTTTTCCTCTCTTTCCTACAGGGAAGACCTGGCCTTCCTGGTGCAGCAGGGCCCCAGGGAGAGAAGGTAAGCCAAACCACACGGTTACCAATGGCTCTGGGCTCTGGGCAAGCAGGTGCGAGAACTGCCCTCCCGAATAAACCAGGCCCCGGGAGAAGGGGGCAGTGTGGGGTCTGGGAGAGAATTGCACACAGAGGACGTGAGCTGGGAGTCAGGAACGCAGAGAAGTAGAACTTCTGGCTATTCTATTTAAACCATTTCTCCACCTTTAGGAATAAGAATTCTTTAAAAACACAAACAAACAAACAACAACAACAACAAAAAAAAACAGCAACAAAAACATTACAAAATATTACATTCTCTTATGTAATATCCAGGTGTATTAAAATCTTACACTACTTGAAATGCTTTTTAGACTAGGAAAGGCTATGAATGAATACAAAAATTACCTTACAAATTCCTCTTTTCCTCTTCCTCCTTTTGGCCTTCTCTGTCCTCTCCAATATTTTACATATTTTTTCTTTGTCAGAATAAGAATCCTAAAAATGTACTGGGCATTTAATAAACAAGTTGAAGGTTGTATCCTGTCATATTGATCATCTATAACATTTTAGAAAAACTTTCCATAAAACGGTGATAGATAGCAAATATCCTGTGGGAAGAGGGTGGGAGAAGAAAGAGAGTCCGAGGAACGACATTAGGAGAAAAATAGAGAGGCAAGACATTTATGGGACAAAGGAATGGGTTATCATCTGTTGATAAGGTGTATAGTATTCCCAACTGGACTGGGGAGAAATGGATTCATGATGGAACACTCACATTACAAGCTGAGTGATATATGTGACTGAATGTATAAAAATAATAAAATTTTAATTTAATTTAAAAAGACAACTAAATAATGCTGCTTAGAATTTCTATATCTCAACTGAAATATCTGCGTGTAAAAGTTCCTTGCAAATTGTGAAGTGCTTTTGAACACATACGTGAAAGTAATAACCCACCCAAGCATTCAGGAGAACATTTCGTCATAAACATTGCATCAAAAGCTTGTGACTATTTTCTTAAATACTCACCACAGTCATTACTCAGATGACCTCTTAGTGTTCTATGGTATGAATGTACCATCGCTTAATCGTTTGTTTAGAAATATTTATTGTGCTGCCTCAGGAGCAGGCCAGAAAATGGCTTATCCACACGACAGACCAGTTTGACTCCAACAGAGAAGTCGTGGAGACATGGAGAGGGAAAACGAGAAGGTGTGACGTCAGATTTGGATTGCAGTAGAAGGGATGATAAGACACAGCCCTGTGTTTGAGGACAAAGAAAGCCCTTCTTCCAGATTTCTAGACAGGCCCTCAGGAGACATCAGGCATCTGGTAGAGGACAACCAGGGAGAGGAGGATCAGAGAAGCGGCCCCAGCCCAGCTGAGAAGGGCCAGGCCAGGGAACGTCACTTCTCAAGAGGCTTTTCACAGAGTTTGGGCGAAGGTCACTGTCAGACTCGGACTCATTCCCAGATAGGCCGAAAGTGAAGGGAAGGGAAAGGCCACTCTGACTTGCTGTAGAAGCAGGCAGGGTACGCTATAAATAAATAAATAGACTCACGAGCTGGAAAACAACCTCAGCTTAGGAGCGGGAACTGGAGGTTGTTAATGTCTTACAAACCTGCTCACTTGAGCTTCGGTTCTAGCTGAGTTAATTATTTGTTCTCCTTCTAAGTATTTTTAGAGTTGAGATTTACATTGTTATATTATTCTGGTGTCAGGATTTTAACATGCTCTTGCAGTTCCCTGACAGGGGGTGCTAAATTCTAAAATAAGTAGTTTATTTCAAGTCAGAAGCTTTGTGCAGTTTATACCTGGGTGATGACCCTTTCCTGCTGCCGTCCCTGAGTGTGTCTGTGTGAGCGTTATAAATTAGAGCCTTCTGCCTCATTCGTAGATTTGATTTTGCCCCTCAGATGGGGGACTGCCAAGCTATCTGTCATTGCTTAGAATGATCAGTGCAGCAGAGTTGGAAAGACGAGGCCAATGACCAGGATACTATTTTTGTTGTCGTTGCTTGAATAGCTAAGAAACCAGAGGCTCCAGGTGATAGGGCTCCTCTCCTCTCATTCTGAGAAGTGTCATTGAGGCAATCAGACATTATGCAATCTTTGAGGAAGTTATTGGAATGATAGAGATGATCTTTTTTTTTTTTTTTGGAGAGGTTTTTTTTTTATTTTTTTTTATTTCTTGCTATAGGGTGCGTGCGCTTGCCAGACAGAGAGAGACAGAGAGACAGAAAGCGAGAAATCACCCCCCAGGGGGGATGGCCACGCCACAATCCCTCTTCCTTCCTCCATTCTCCTCTCGGGATCTTGGGCATGCACGCACACACGCTCAGCATGAGTTTAAGCCACTAGCTCTGGGACTTGAACCATGGTCGACTACATGGGAATCCAGCAACATAGCCTTTACGACAGCTGCTGGTCCCAATGATCTTTTAAACATCTTTGCTCTACAAATGAGGGAGTTTAAGACCCTGAAAATTAGAGCAGGTGCTCAAGACCCCACAGTGGATTAAATCATCATCCAAAGCCCAAGTTCATAGCATGTCCCTGTCCATCTAGTGATGTGCTACAGGTCTAGACATCAGGGGATGCATTTCTAGGGCCAAATTAAGAATTTTTACTGAACTGACTTCATGGTTGTACTAGTTATCTATGCTGTGTAACAAGTCATCCTGACCTTCAGCAGCTTAAATAGCAATCATGTATCAGCTCACATGGTTTCTGAGGGCAGGAATATGGTGGGAACAGCATGAGTGAATTGTTGGTCTCAGGGTGTTTCCTGGGATTGTAGCCACCCTGTCAGGTGGGGTGCAGTTATCTCCAGGGTCCCCTAAGAGTGAGCAGGGATGAGGGAACCCAAAATGAAAGCCATGGTCATTTTTATAACCTAACATGGACAGTCACGTACCTCCACTTTTGCTATTGCTGCTGTTAGTCACATAGATGAAAATGGGCACAGGGAAGTCACCATACAAGGGTGAGTACCAGGAGATAGGGACTGCTGCAGGCTTCATCGCAGCTGGCCCGCACAGTGGCCAGAACTGATCATTGCAAAAAATGCGTCACCCATCTAATAGAAGATGACTCTGTGAAAGATTTTTATTCTATTTATGTATTTTTAAGAGAGATTTTTGCTGTAGGGTGCGTGTGCTTGCTGGAGAGACAGAGATAGTGAGAAATCACCCTCTGGGGGAATGGTTATGCCACAGTCCCTTCTCCTCCATTCTCCTCTCGGCATCTTCAGCATGCATGCACATGCATCAGCTGTGAGTTTTAAGCCGCCAGATCCAAGACTCAAACTGCAGTCGACTACATGGGAGCCCAGCGATGTAACCATTACGCCATCTGCTGGTCCCTCTATTTACATATTTTTGACCTTGAACGGGTGATTAAACATTGATGTGCCTCAGTGTCCTCATCTCTAAGATAGGAAGGGGAACAGATATTGGTGGAACAGTAGCAGAACATTCTGAGAATGACCCCCACGGGAAGGTCTAGGTTCCCGTCCAGAACCTGGTGAGCGTGCCTGTGTGTGTACTATGTCTATAGCTGGCTGAAGCTGGGTAGATCATAGCGTGATAAGGGGGATGCCTGTCTGTCTGTCTGTCTTGCTAATAGAAGACATAAATAAATAAGCCTTAAAAACAGGATAGGAAAGGTAGTATCACAGGGTAGAAGAGTTAACCACGCCTGCCACAGGGACATGCCAAAGATCTCGTTGTCTTTCCCGTGCCCAGCACAGTGCCTTGTAGAAGTGTGCTCACTGAGTAGTGGACCGTAGGCTGCTGTCAGGAAGCCGGTGGTTGAGAAAAGCCACGAGGTGATTATGGAGCACCAGTTAGACTGGGCTGAGTGTGCACAAACCTACCCTCAAGAAGACCGTGATCTTGTTGCTAAGATGAGACCGAGAAGCAGAAGCTTAAAGACTGTAACAGGAGGGAGTAAACCCGGGCCTGACTGCCAGACCTGTCACAGAGCACAGAGCAGGAAGTGGTGCCTGCTTCTTAATGTGGGGAGGAGAACGGCAGAGGAAGGTGGCAACAAGTAACCACGGGGATGCTTGATATTTCCACACAGGGCGACGTGGGACCTGCAGGGCCACCTGGTGTGCCGGGCTCTGTGGTGAGTCACCAGTGGTTGGGATTGCAGACTTACACGTGGTAGATGTTGGAGGAGTCCTTACCTGTAAAAGTAAGGCAGAACCTTCTAATAACACTGGTCAGATAGAAGCTCTCGACACTGAAAATGGGGTAAGTCGGAGGAAAGCCGCAGACACCTGCATGTAGCTCTCTGTGAAAGCCTTGATAAGCTGAGGCAGGCTGACATTGTGGAGGGAATGCTGTCAACACCTTTGCTAATGCCTGGTTTGTCTCCCAGGTGCAGAGAGAGGGCCTGAAGGGAGAGCAGGTAAGAGGGTGCAGGCTCTTCCACCATGGGACTCAGGGGGTAGCAGTGGTAGAAGAGCCATGCCGTGGGTGGGGCCCACATGGCACCTTTCAGAGATGCATCCAGGTGGCTTGTTGCCAGGAGTGCCAATACTGCACCTGTTTCTGTGGGCATCTCCTGAGATCTCAGGAAGTAAACTGTGGTCAGGAAAGGGCTCTGGTGGTTCCCGTAATGTGGAGGGGGCAGTGGTGAGTAATGAGTGTGTTTTTTTTGCATCACCAGGGAGCTCCAGGACCTAGAGGTCACCAGGGCCCACCCGGGCCCCCAGGGGCTCCAGTAAGTCATCCTCCCAAGCCCAGCCCTGCTTTGAACCCCCCGGGTCTGCACAGCAATAACCGTACTGTCTGCCGAGCACGGTGATATCTTGGAACCCTCACATCCCCTGGGTGCCAGATGCTGCTGTCAACACCATCCTCCACGGGAGGACACAGCCTTGAGAAGAAGCTGCTCCCTGCCACAGGTCACCAGGTCTACAGTGTGGAGCTGGAACTGCAGCCTGGCAGTGGCCTTCAGAGCCCCCATCTACATGGGCCATGGTTGTGGCTTCTGGGCATTCAGTCTGGTTGTGTTAGTTTCCCTTCAGACAAAACAGAGTGAGCACAGCAGACACCAGTGCCGATTAACCACTCGCCGTGCACATCGGCTCTCCCATGTTTCTGAGGGGACTAACCTTGCAGGGGCTTGGGGCACTTCGGCCTTTGGCTTACCCTCTGTAATAATATGTAAATAACCACTTGAGGAAAGACCATTCAAAGAGCCCCTGTGAGATTTGGGGGCTGAGCTCAGGTTCCGAGGATTAAGGACAGTAAACTCCACAGGTTCACTCTCTCTCTTTTTTTTTTTTTTGAGAGGTTTTCGCTATAGGGTGCGTGCACTCGCCAGAAAGACAGAGAGAGACAGAGAGACAGAAAGCAAGAAATCACCTCCCAGGGGGGATGACCACACCGCAATCCCTTCTCCTCCATTCTCCTCTCGGGATCTTGGGCACGCATGCACATGCACCCGGCGTGAGTTTTAAGCCACCTGTTCTGGGCCTCGAACCGCGATCGACTACATGGGAGTCCAGCGACACAGCCATTACGCCAACTGCTGGTCCCCACAGGTTCTCACTTTAAAGATGCTTCTCCCAGCAGCACGGCATGCCCCTTTCAAGTTACTCTATTTCACTGAAGGCAATGAGACAACTCTGGCTTATCAACAGCCACAAGTCAGATTCGTATCCCACCTATTGAAGCCCGTTCCTCTTTAGGATGAGGTTGTATCATCTTACTCAGGCAGAAAACGAGCAAGCACTTAGATGATGTTTAATTCTCATTTAGCCAGGACAGTTTTGTAGGAGAGATTTGGGGTTAGACATGCTACCTTCTGCCTCTGACCTCGCCGAGGCTCAGTGTCCAGAGCTGCCCACACGGTCATAACCACCGATGTGAACTGGTAAGCAGGGGGCAGTGTGCTCCTAATCGGAGGCTCCCTGTGCATTCAGGCTCCGTATCTCAGCCCCCCACCGGCAGGTATGAATGTGCCTAGTGGGCTATACGAGAGGTCTTTGAACATCCATGTGTCGTGAAAAAAACATGGATGATTCCAATATTTTTACACCAAAATATACTCTTACCTTAATTTCATTTTCCATGCACTTTTTGCGGTCCCCTCGTATTTTCATATACAAATATATGTATTTTATGTCTGCAAGGCTGGAGGTTTATTTTTCATCTTTTACCAGCAAGGACATTGGTGCAGACATTGAGTGCTTGCACAAAGCCACACAGCTGTCAAGAAGTCCCGGTGACCTCTGAGCCCAGGCTGTGGGCTGGGCAGCCCACGCACGTGGCTGAGTGCGCGATGCGGCAGCACTTCCTCCAAGCTGTGTGAGGGGAGTTACTATACTCTGCGGCTCTCAGTAAGGAGTGCAGAGCTGAAGATGCCCATCTCTGCTTCATCATGAGGCACCTTTCTTGGCCTCTTTCTGGGCCCAGAATGTTTGGCAGTCCTCACCAGTGATGCAGATTTCACTAGGATACATGAGGGAAGGAGAGAGGAAGAAATCTCTACCATTCGGGGCCATCTACTTCATATCAAGCAAAATATTAAGACTGAAATGTGTTGGCGAATGACACACGGACCAATCTTGTGGTCTATGAGGAAGATATTTTTAAAAGGAAACCATTGGGCCAGCAGGTGGCAGGTAGGTTAGGGCATTGGATCCCACGTGACCAATTTTGTGATTCATGTCCCAGACCTGGTGCCTTGAGGATCATGCTGGGCATGTGTGCGTGTGTGCCCACAATTCCAAGAGGAGAATGGAGGAGGAAGGATTGCAGCATGGCCATTCCGCTGAGGGGTGGTTTCTCACTTTCCCTCTCTCTCTCTGGTGAGCATGTGCACGTTATAAAGGAAGGAAGGAAGGAAGGAAGGAAGGAAGGAAGGAAGGAAGGAAGGAAGGAAGGAAGGAAGGAAGGAAGGAGGAAAGAAAGAAAGAAAGAAAGATGACTAGTGGGGAATTCCTGCACGTGTCATGTCTACCATCTGTCACTCTGGGCGTGGGATAGGCCTTGAGCCTCCCTACACTCTACCACAGAAGGCCTCAAGCCTGGTGTCCACCCAGTTGTCCATGTGCTAGGTTCTCTCTGGACGGTGCCATGGTGCAGCAGGATTCAGTACAATGCCCGTTTGGGGCAGAATTCATCACGCAAACAGCCTGGCAAAAGGCATTGTTAAAGGGGATGCATTAAGGAAAGATTCAAGACCGTGTCATTCTCAGACTCAAGGCCAGTGTCTGTCCCATCTCTAAATCTGCAAGACTTACCACGCGGTGGGGCTCTGACATGTGCTGGCAGGGGAATGGCCTATAGAGCAGGTATCGAGAGGGGCACTGGAGTGGGACCAGCCTGTGGTGTGAACTCAGGAAGAACAATAGAGCCAGGTGGTCCTTAGAACTAGGATCCAGATTCTGCCACCAAGTCGTCCTGTGTCTCCAGTGACACCGCTTAGCCTGGTTGTCGTCCAGTCCATCTCTGATTTAGAAGTCATGATCGTGCTCCGCTAAACAAATGTGCTAGGAAGCTTAGAGAAACTGACGTACGAAACCGTGTTCCGTGGAGCCTGATCAACCCAGTGCTGGCATCGGGTGTCATTTCTGTCTTCTTTTGAAACCCCAGCAGCACCTAGCTCAGGGTTTTTGCAGAGCAGCTACTTCCTAAATATTCATTGGATGGAATCAATCGAGAGGCTGGCTTCGGTGACTTCTGTCGCGAATGGAAAATTTTGAGTTTGTGTTCAGCAATCCCAGAGAGAGGAAAATATGTCCCGCTCTCCAAATGGAAACCATGCGCAGCATTCTGCATCCAAATGGGGACATCTTTTGTCCTTTCCCAAGAGGAGACAGGCCCTGGTCGTGCTACCGATGTGTGGTGGAGAGGCTGCAGCGCCGGCTGGGCGGCTCGGTGTGGAAAGGAAACCCTCTGTGGCAGGGGCTTCTTGCTGTGTGCTGGGCTCCACAGAACCTCCTCCCGCAGCAGGGAGGGTCTCTCCTTTGCTGCAGTTTGTCTGTTTGTTATTCATTGATGTGGTGTTAGAAAGAGGAAGATCCTGGACCCGAACACAGCTTGGTCACTTAATAGTTATGCAGAACTTGGCAAGCGTAGCTTAGTTTGATGGTAATATTTATTGAAAGTGAGGAGATTGGAGCACAGAGAGCTTCTGGCTACAGTTCAGAGTGGTGACTGAGTCGGTGCCTGTGTCAGGAGTTTCTCCTGCCCCGTGGTTCCGTGCACCATTTGGGCATCAGAGTCCTGTCAGGAGGCCTGGGCACGGTGTCACTGCCTCCGTTCCCATTCCGCATGTGCTCTGAGGGGCTGTGCCATCCCCACCTCAGAGACGAGGTCACAAGGCCCACAGTGCCGAGTCTGCTCTGCACCCACACGACAGAAACCAGGCAGGGTGAAGCAGGCGGGGTTTGGGTGAGCTCGGCCTAACCCCTCCCTGCATCGGTGTTCTTTGTTTAACTGACAGGGCTCTTTCCTAGACAGTGTGTTCATTTATTTGCCTTGACTATCATATTTTTTACCTTTTACTCTCGGAGAGTCAGATTACCCGAGCTGGGAGGCTACAGGCAAAGGGCGCTGGCCTTAGAGTCAAAGACACGTGGATTCAGAAGAATTTTTTTTTTTACAAGAAATTTTTACTGTAGGGTGCATGCACTGCCTAGAAAGAGAGACAGACAGCAGAAATCACTCCCCAGAGGGGATGGCCATGCCATAGTCCCTTGTCTTCCATTCTTCTTTGGGAATTTTGGGCATGCACACACACATGTGCCTTGCATAAGTTTTAAGCCACCGGGTCCAGGACACGAACTGCATTTGACTGTGGGTGTCCAGTGATGTAACCATTGCACCATCTGCTGGTCCCTGGATGACATCCCTGTGTGCTGCTTGTAGACCATTAGTGCAAGCCATTTGACCCTTGCCGTCCTCATCTGTAGACACAGTGGTGCTGCCACATCTCCACTGTCTGCATACTTACTTAGGCCAAGTACATGTGCATGTTTTGAAGCTACTAGGAGAGAATGCGATGCTATTTCCTTCCCGACCTCCCGCTGTTCCCAACGAAGTGGGGTCATTTTTCTACCTAGCGAGAGTGAGAAGGAAGCAGATCTGCACTGTTGAACCCTGCACTGACTGTTATGTCTATTTTTTCCCTCTTTGTCACTTTCCCGAAGGGTCTGATGGGCCCAGAAGGCAAGGATGGACCGCCTGGTTTGCAAGGTCTCCGGGTAAGTAAGCTTCCCTCCTTTCTGAGGTCCCAGCTCACCCACCCCAGGCCCATTGTGAGAGCGCAGACAGGAGAGAAAGCCAGCCCAGGGGCTTGCCGTGAAGACTGGCAGCAGAACGAAGGCTCAGATTCGGTTCATCGAACACGGCTGAGGACCTGCTCTGTCTGCCTGGACGTGGAGGGGTCTTGTCTGCCATGAAACATGACCTCTATGATATCGGTGCCCCAGCTGAGAGAGGGCTAGTGCTAAGGGGATACTGAGAAGGGACAACGGGTACAGCCTGGAAGTAGCCAGCGCCTCTTAAAAGAGGTGATGTCTGAGCTAAGTCTTGAGAAAAGGTGATGTCTGAGCTAAGTCTCGAGAAAATTGAGTGAAAGTATAGACAGCCAACACATTACTGACTACTTTTTTTGAGATTAATTTAATTATATTAAGCATTATTTTTAATTTGCTATAGAGCATGTGTGCTCATCAGAGAAAGACAGAGAGAAAGTGAGAAAGTAAACCACCAGATCCAGGGCTTGAACTGCAGTCCACTGTGGGAGTTCAGTGCTTTAACTACCACATCACTATTGACTATTTGAATCTTAGCAATTGTGGTTTTTTGTTTGTTTGTTTGAAGAGAGAGTTATTTTTGCTATGGGGGCACATGTGCTCACCAGAGAGACAGAAAGTGAGAAATCATCCCCCATGGGGATGGCCACACTGGAGTCCCTTCTCCATTCTCTCAGGACCTTGGGCACACATGTAGACATGCCCAGAGTTAGTTTTAAATTGTCAGGTCCAGGGCTCGAACCATAGTCGACTATGTGGGAGTCCAGAAACATAACCATTATGACATTTGTTGGTCCTGCATCCGTGTTGTTACTGAATATTGTATTACCTCAATGTACTCCATGTAATTTAAGTGAGTGTTTTATACCTAAACTGTGCATACCTAATTTTTTCTTTATTTATGACTGAGCATGCGGTTGTGCATGGCAGGGCCCCTCCCTGTGCCATGATCCCCCCTCCAATTCTCCAGGCCATTGGATCTTGGACACTCATGTATGGGCCAGGAGTGCTCCAGGAAGACTGGGCTGGAAACTGGAGCCACGGTTGCCACGTGGGTCTGGCTTCTCTCGAGCTGCGCGTTCCTACTGCACCGTGGTGCTGGCCCGCCCAGCTGGTTTTAACCCACCAATACGCATGCATCCCGATATAACAGCATGTGCTCCCAGGAGACATCTGGAAGCACAGCTGAGCTAGGGGCCTGCGTGGGTGCCCCCGCCCCAAGCTAGACAAGACCCAGACTCAGCTGTGCATCCTAGTTCCCAACAGGGTGCCTGGCGCAGGTATGGGGCAGCTCACCTCTGTTGAACTCTCACCCTTACGCTCAGATATGCTTGACTAGTTCACAGAGAGAACTGTCCCAGCGGCACCACCATCCAAAGATGGCACAAGTGGCTCCAGGGATGAGGGGCTTTCTGCCTCTGGGGGATTTCAGTCCCAGGCCAGGGACTCACTGACAGGTGGCTGTGAGTAGGGGTCCTAGCATCTACAGAGGCCACGAGATTCTGTCACTCCGTGAAGTGGAGGGGGCTCAGTTGCTGTGGATGGCCCTGTCTGTGAGTGCTGGGCTGTCCCGATGACACTCACACCCTTGGTTCTGGTCATTCAGCACACACTTCAGCCCGCCCTTACCTTCAGGTGATCTTCCTTGGTTTTCAAACTCCTCTGCCTTCCACAACCACCTTGAATTCTCAGGCTCTTGTGGGGACCTTGCCTTGAAAGCCAGCTGAGATGTGGAGAGGTGTCACAGTGTGGGGTGAGAGAGAAGGGAGTTGCTTTGTCCCTACTGCGTGTCCTTGGCTATCTCACCACCCGTTCAGCATCCCCAGCTCCCCAGTTCTGGCCTCAGGCTCCCTGTTGGTCAGATAGGGCCGCTGGGTGGGCCAGAGCCAACTTGCCTTCTCTGCGGAGCGCAAGGATGTGAGCTGGGCAATGAGGTGCTCCTGGGCTGGGAGCTCGGCTCCACTGGCGGCACCCGGGGCCCTGCCAGCCACCGCCTCCCCGCCTGATCCCTCTTGTTGCAGTGGGGAAGGTGTGTGAGAAGGAGGGCCCTGTGTGGGCTCGACACGTGGGCCGGCTCTCAGTCTCAACATGCTCACGCATGTCTTAAGAACACAGTCACCTGTGCACTCCTACGTAATTAACGTCCATACCTGCCGCATTTCCCTTTGCTCTGAATGGCTGCTAGTGCTGCTCTCCCTAACGCAGCATTACCTGGCAGGTGGAACTGTGTATAGAGGGATGACGGCGAAGGTTTTACTACATCTTCATCTCCTCTGTTATTAAGGAGGGGAGGGAACATCTTGCTGGAAGCTTGTTTGTCAGGCCTCGCCATCTGGGACATGCCTTCTTAGAACCTACTGGGTGAGCATCCTGGGGGAGTCCGTTGTTATCCTGAGAAGCACTTTCTGCTCCTGTGAGTTAGACTGTCCAGCGAGGGTGTGATGCGGCCCAGGCTAACCCAGCCCAGGGGACTTCATTTGGGCAAATGTAGCAGGTAAGAAATTTGAGGAATAAATCAAAGAGACCCAGCGAAGCAAGCAGGGTGGAGGGATGGGCTGGAGTGACGGCTTGGGTTGGGGTGTGGTGTTTACTGAGTCCTATCTAGGCACCAGCCTTCACACCAACCCTGTCATCCCTGTTCCCACAGTGGACGGCACCCTCTGATACAACAGAGCCACTAAGTGGCCTCTGAGGGAGTCACACCTGGGATTATGTGTTGCCAAAGCCTGACTTCTTTCTGCTTCTCCTTCTATGTGTCAATGTCACCAAAGCCTGTGCTGAGCCCTTATGGTGTACAGGGCACTCTGACAAAGGATCTAGAACTTTCTGATAAGATTAAGGTCCCAACAACTAGGAGCTCACCATCCACCAAGGAACTCAGTGATTTGAACGGGGCCTAGATACCTCAGAGGGGTCGACAAAGACTATGGATGTTCAGAGATGAGGGATTCTAGCCCATTAGAGAGCCTGGAGGGGAGGATGCTGGGAGTGGGGGTGTTCTGGAAGCCGGGAAGTCCTAGGCAGAAGTGGTATTTGTGGTGACCTGCAGGAAAGAGCAGATTTCAGCAAGAGTTGGCAGGAACCGTGAAAATAGTCTTTCAGATCCAGAAGTGCCTCCAGAGAGGGCTCCTACCTCTGCACTTGCCGATGCTCTCGGCCGAGTTTGGAAGTCCGTCAGAGGAGGTAAAGGCTGCAGATGTGACGACTCATTCAAGCTCTGCAGATGCATAGCAGGCCGCTCTGCTGATCCCTGCCTTTTCTTTCTGTGCTTCTCTTTTCTGTTTTTATCGATTGTCTTCCTCCTGCTTGCCCTTCTCCCATCCTGGTCCCTTCTCTTCTACCCTTTCCTTTCTCCCCCAAACTTACACACTCAACAAATACTTCTTTGGCCTGTGCTGGTGCCAGGCATTGTCCTAGACTAGTGGGGAGTTTGGCGGGAAGGAGGAAGATGGCTTTCTGGCAGGCTCCACTGAACAGGCTGCAGCAATGTAAGGGGGCTGACTAAGCTGATACTTTGGGGTCAGTGCCCCGGTGGCAAGAGCTGGAGCGAAGGTCCTGGGACAGATGCCATGTCTGAGCTGGAGCCATGAAGGGGGCCAGCAGGAGGAGATGAAGTCAGAGCTTCAAGTCCTCAAGGCCCATCCGTGACCATTCCTGTGGGCCGCTGTCAGAACTTGGTATTTTGCTGTGAGTAAGCTGTGGAGCTACTGGACATTTTAACCAATGTTTTATTATGAAATAAAGTAATCATATGCAAAAGTAGAATAGCATCATGAACCCCCATGTACCCAATATCTGAGTCTGCACTTACAGAGACATTGATAAATCAGTTCAATTTCTTGTCACTTCTGCCTATTAGTTAGAAGCTATCTCCCAAATCACATCATTTTGTTTCTAAATATTTGTGTGCTATCTTCAGGAGGTGAGGAATTTTGAGAGAAGTGAAATCACAATACAATTACCCACCGAAATGTATGAGAACTACTTATTGAAGTTTCATCACATTTTTAGTCAGTTTTCAAAATTTCCCTTTCTTGTAAATTTCTGGTTGCGCTGTAGGGTTTTGAGGTTGGTGGCGACAGGCTCATTGTATATGCCAAGCACATCCCCATGTTAGGATGGACTACAAGGAGGGAGGGAGCAGTTAGGGGTGCCCACAGTGATCAATTGACCAGGGCCAGGGGCTGGGAGGAGCGAGGGGCTGGGAGGAGCGAAGGGCTGGGCGTACCCATCCTGCTTCGAGTCACACGCCTGGCCATGGGGACACCAAGGAAAGGGTGGAGTCCCCGCTCTGAATAACCCAGCAGTTAGCAGAGGAGTGAGTAAGAGTTACAAAGCAGGGCTAAGAGAGCATTAATATCGGGAGCAGCGAGGGTCCCCTCTTACCCTACCTCCTCTCGTGAATTGAGGATGCTAATCGAGGGTGTCTTTAGGGGTCCTTGACCCTAGCAATTCCCTCATTTGGACTGTGCTCCATCTTAAAGCCATTGCTGGGACTCAGTGCCTGCCCCTATGGCAGAGAGAGGAGAACTAAGTCATCTCGTTGTGGATTCGGAAGCAGCTTCCTGTGCCGTCGTCCTCTAGCTGAGTCAGGAGAACCCGAGGCAGAATGACTTATTCAGAATGACTTTCTTCTTCCCTCTCTGTGAGCTGTCATTTCCTCATCAGTGACTTGATTGAAACCTCACTAGAGGAGCTTGTGAGCCTCAGAGCACGCACATGGGCTGTGCAGAGGGAAGTGAGAGGAATGGTGAGGTGGGGGACCTGCCAGCTGGGAGACGTGGCCAGAGCACAGGGCGGGGAAGGAACCCAGGCCCTTCATTTTAGAGATCAGCAACAGGCAGACGGTGTAATCCTGGCAAGGTAAATGCATTCATTTTGGACAAAGCTGGTATTTTTCCACAATGACATGGTGGAAGGGGAGAACTCGGAGGTAGCATGCTCTG